TAGAGCTCTAGAGAGAACAGTTTAGAACTGATAGAGCTATCCAGTGTAAATAAAGTTAGTTTAGTTTAGGTTTCCTTCTGTAGTAACACTGGAGCAATAAGAGATGATCCTTACTCGACCTCTAGGAAGAACAGTTTAGAACTGATAGAGCTATCCAGTGTAAATAAAGTTAGTTTAGTTTAGGTTTCCTTCTGTAGTAACACTGGAGCAATAAGAGATGATCCTTACTGGACCTCTAGAGAGAACAGTTTCGAGCTGATAGAGCTATCCAGTATAAATAAAGTTAGTTTAGTTTAGCTTTCCTTCTGTAGTAACACTGGATCAATAAGAGATGATCCTTACTGGACCTCTAGGAAGAACAGTTTAGAACTGATAGAGCTATCCAGTATAAACAAAGTTAGTTTAGTTTAGGTTTCCTTCTGTAGTAACACTGGATCAATAAGAGATGATCCTTACTGGACCTCTAGAGAGAACAGTTTCGAGCTGATAGAGCTATCCAGTGTAAATAAAGTTAGTTTAGTTTAGGTTTCCTTCTGTAGTAACACTGGAGCAATAAGAGATGATCCTTACTGGACCTCTAGAGAGAACAGTTTAGAGCTGATAGAGCTATCCAGTGTAAATAAAGTTAGTTTAGTTTAGGTTTCCTTCTGTAGTAACACTGGATCAATAAGAGATGATCCTTACTGGACCTCTAGAGAGAACAGTTTAGAGCTGATAGAGCTATCCAGTGTAAATAAAGTTAGTTTAGTTTAGGTTTCCTTCTGTAGTAACACTGGATCAATAAGAGATGACCCTTACTGGACCTCTAGGAAGAACAGTTTAGAACTGGTAGAACTATCCAGTATAAATAAAGTTAGTTTAGTTTAGGCTTCCTCCTGTAGTAACACTGGATCAATAAGAGATGATCCTTACTGGACCTCTAGGAAGAACAGTTTAGAACTGGTAGAACTATCCAGTATAAATAAAGTTAGTTTAGTTTAGGCTTCCTCCTGTAGTAACACTGGATCAATAAGAGATGATCCTTACTGGACCTCTAGGGAGAACAGTTTAGAACTGATAGAGTTATCCAGTATAAATAAAGTTAGTTTAGTTTAGGTTTCCTCCTGTAGTAACACTGGATCAATAAGAGATGATCCTTACTGAACCTCTAGGAAGAACAGTTTAGAACTGATAGAGCTATCCAGTATAAATAAAGTTAGCTTAGTTTAGGTTTCCTCCTGTAGTAACACTGGATCAATAAGAGATGATCCTTACTGGACCTCTAGGAAGAACAGTTTAGAACTGATAGAGCTATCCACTATAAATAAAGTTAGTTTAGTTTACGTTTCCTCCTGTAGTAACACTGGATCAATAAGAGATGATCGTTACTGGACCTCTAGGAAGAACAGTTTAGAACTGATAGAGCTATCCAGTATAAATAAAGTTAGTTTAGTTTAGGTTTCCTCCTGTAGTAACACTGATCAATAAGAGATGATCCTTACTGGACCTCTAGGAAGAACAGTTTAGAACTGATAGAGCTATTCAGCATAAATAAAGTTAGTTTAGTTTAGGTTTCCTCCTGTAGTAACACTGGATCAATAAGAGATGATACTTACTGGACCTCTAGGAAGAACAGTTTAGAACTGATAGTGCTATCCAGTATAAATAAAGTTAGTTTAGTTTAGGTTTCCTCCTGTAGTAACACTGGATCAATAAGAGATGATACTTACTGAACCTCTAGGGAGAACAGTTTAGAACTGATAGAGCTATCCAGTATAAATAAAGTTAGTTTAGTTTAGGTTTCCTCCTGTAGTAACACTGGATCAATAAGAGATGATACTTACTGGACCTCTAGGAAGAACAGTTTAGAACTGATAGTGCTATCCAGTATAAATAAAGTTAGTTTAGTTTAGGTTTCCTCCTGTAGTAACACTGGATCAATACGAGATGATCCTTACTGGACCTCTAGGGAGAACAGTTTAGAACTGATAGACTTATCCAGTATAAATCAAGTTAGTTTAGTTTATATTTCCTCCTGTAGTAACACTGGATCGATAAGAGATGATTGTTCCAGCATAAATGAAGTTAGTTAGTTTAAACTTGCTAGTGACGGGAAAAAAATAAAGCAAAAGAGGAAGAAGAGAAATTGAAGAAGAAGGGGTTCACAAAACTAACATCCCATCAATCGTGATGCATTATTTTAGTATCAACATTGAACTTTAACCTTGAAAGATATGATACGTCTTTCCTCTCCAGACGGCAGTCCTGGTAGTGCAGATGAATTCCTGCCATGTCTTATATATGTTATCCTCAAATCCACACCTACTATGCTTAATTCAAATATACAGTAAGTTCCAGTTTTGATTGGCTGGTCGAGGCTTCCAGTAAACGTTATACAGAGCAGCAAGTAGTCGTTAACTTCGGAAATGTTGAAAGTTATTGGAGCTTAACTACATCTTTCAGTATCACTTAACGGAACCACCAAATACATAAACTACCACATATAATGAAAAGAAGTAACATTATTTTCTCACGCTGATAGACTGATGCCTACAAATTAAACCCACCAAATACAGGGCTACCACATAACAATGAGAACAATTTAAACATTTTCTCACTTAACTGCAGGTTGAATACCATCTGCTGCATGATATATAGAGGGTATTACACGGCGGCGCGAAGATATGACGAGCGTAGCGAGCGAGTGAGTGAAATATTGTTTTTAACACGAGAAGATAAAAGTCATATCTTCAAGCCACCGTATAATGCTCTGTTTATTATATAGTCCCAAGCAAAAAAAAGTGAATTTTCACGCTCAAAAGCAAATTGGAAAAAGTCACGTGATCGATATCTTCACTAATGAAGATATGGAAAATATGTGTATTTTTCAGTATCTCACACTCTACTATATAATAAAGTGTTTTATAGTAAAACCCAAGGCAATATATAATGAAACCCATTTATCACTTCGCTCCATATATTGACAAGAAAATAATTTCCAATTTTCGTTTTCTTCAGATACATAACAAGATTTTGTAATGCGAATAAATTAATGAGTGGTGAGGCTGGTTATTATTTTACAAATCTGGTAAGTATTTAGAAATGATACGTTTAAATTTTATTAAGTTTTATTAATTTCTGTTTATTGTTTGATTCAGTGTTGTGCGGTGAAGTTTATTGAAATGATTGATGCACGATCTTTATCGCTAACGGAAGAAGAATTTAATAGGTAAGTCTAGGATAATGAAGACAACATTTGTATAAACCGTCGTTGGTAGGGATGCCAGTCATGCAACTACTTACTTGAAAAATACAAGGAGAAATTCGACGTGTCGAGCGAAGGCACTTCGTCAGGAAGGTATAGTAGCCAAGGGATCGAAGCTTGTTATTATTGGTACTATACCCACACTGGCATGGACCATTCAATATTTGTATAAACCGTTGTATAGTTATGATACTATCATCAACAATCAGGGTTCGTAGCGGTCTTTGAAATCCTTGAAAGTCTTTAAATTTGAATGCAGGTCTTTAAGGTCTTTGGAAAGTCTTTGAATTGTGTGAAAAAGCGAAGAAAGTCTAAAGTCTTTAGTACATGAGTATTTGATTAAACGATTTCCTACCTGATAAGATAGATTGATTGAAGCAATATTTTCGCAAATATCGACGAAAAGGTGCGTTTTAGGATGTGATTTGACGGGACTACTTACCTGGTAAAAATGGTGCTTATACACTCGCAATTTTTCGACAGCTGATTGCTCTCGAAGGTCTTTGAAAAGTCTTTGACAATAGGCAGAAAAAGTCTTTGAATTTTTTTGGTCTTGGAGACTACGAACCCTGACAATGATATTACTCAATTTTGGTCATATAATAATTGAGGTTTGACTGTTTAAGATATATGAATGGTGAACAGCCACCGGGATCGTTAGAAGATCAAAATGGTGAAGATGAAAATTTGTGTGAAGGACTTAAACTCATGCAGGTAAACTCATGCTTGAACAGAGATGATCCCCCCTATCCTCCTGCCCAGGGTATAATGTTTGGGACGAGAATGACCCCCATATTGTTGGGGTGATGATGTCATGACAACACTCGTTAATCTACCCTCACACAACCGAAAGTTAACATGAACACATGTATCAAAGTAGCCTGCGAACAGGCTCTCAAGTCTCAATTCAGCTTGAGAGCCTGTTTGCAGGCTAGTATCAAAGTGTTTAGTATGCTATTTGTGTTGTAGGAAAACTTGGATAATTTAGCAGAATTACGAGAAAGTCAACTGAGATGGCGACATAAAGCAGTGCAGTTACAAAATGAAATTGCTTCGTTCAGAACGGATGTGACTAAAGAGGTTCGTTTCATCTCTTATTGATCCAGTATTACTACAGGACCTGATATTACATTTGACGACTGAAAAAGATTTCCAATTTCAACCCAAATCAAATGAAGAACATACTTTTATATTGATCCAGTATTCCAGTGTTACTACAGGAGTGGAAACTGTAAGCACTGACAGGCAAGTCCAGATTTTGGTGGAAAAAGTGGGAGAGGTGGAAAAAATTCCGGGGAGGTGCAGCGGTATAGCTCACGACCTCCCATGGAAAGCTGGGGTTAAAACGGGCCAAAATCAATAACGTGACATATACATGTTGTGTAAATATGCGATCAGCGTATTAATAAACCATGACTATACAACTTATCCAATTTTGCCCTTCATTACAATTGCTACAGAGGTTCTTTCCAAACATTGCATTAAAAGGGTACTTGACACAGAGATGTATAGCTATCACTGTTTCAATTTTACAGAAAAACGTTCTTACAATGTGTAGATCCTAACCAACCAAAAAATGTCAAATTTTCCCTATTGTCTATCATTGAAACTTTCTCAAGGAGAGGTGCATAACTTTTCAGGGGAGGTGCAAAAATTCTCAAGGGAGGTGCAAAACGATCTCAGGAGAGGTGCGTACCTCCCCACACCCCTCAAAATCCGAGCATGCTCACAGGTAAAAAGCTGATGCACTGATGCACTAGTACTAAGCAATGTATCACCCACACTCTAGGTGGAAGGGATTCTAGATGGCACGAATAAAGGACAATTGCAATATCTTCAGCAATATCTAGATGAAGACTCAGGAAGTCAAAGTGAAAAGGATATGACTGCTGGTAGCGAAACGACGTCCGCTATCGTTAGTTAATAAAATTATTTATTGGGTTAGTTATTAAAAGAAATTATTCACACTATGTACTTCATATATTCTCTGGCCTCGTGGTAGTCTCAGAAGCTATTGTAGAATACTTCCACGTTTGAGATATTTTTTCAGGTAGTTCAGATAAAGTTCAAACACAATCCACGGCAGCTTTATTGTAGACAATGGTTATGTAACCTGCATCGCGGGTTGTCGTCGTCATCATTACGTCATAACTGACGTCATACACTTACTTTAGTTACACCCATAGATATGGTTACACCTATGTCGCGCCGGTCTGCTGCAAAAAAAATATTCGAATTTTGAGTCTGATGAAAGTCGAAGTGTCGAACATAAACTGGTCTTGTCTGAATTCAAGATGGCATTTTACTGAACTTAATAGATCGGAAATTATTCCGTAATTAGAAATATTGCATTTGTGGAACTGAATACCTTTGGAATATTGATAAATTGAATCAATATTTTTATGCGAGTTCTCACGCGCAAATTACAGACAGTGATAACCCAATATAATCGGACTTTTCTTATATTCTAGCATAACTCGTAAATTTGTGGGGAAATAATTTTAGAGAAGTTTAAATATGCTAAGTTGCACGTTCATGTAGCATTGTGCGTCATCAAATCTTAATTAGCCTTGTTGCAAAGGAATCGTGTTACTGAATATTAATTAGGGGGGGTGTTTTTCTAGATCTGAAGAAATAAGCAGAACAAAACTCCCATTCCTCACATAATTGGTTTAAATCAGAGATAGCAATTTACCATTCTAATGCAGAACAATTACTTAATTGGGAACTTTTTGTGAACGTTCCGGAAATGATGCGATGGGGTGTGCTGAAGTCACCTTTGTGCGTTTTTCGTGTTACCGGAAGCGATGAAATTGACAAGCTTTTTCCGGTCTCGTGCCTGGGAATATAGAAGAACGTGCTATTGGTCGCGATGACATTATAATGAGTTCTACTCGTCTATGATTGGTTAGTTTTCAAAGGAGCTGGAATTCTATTGGTCCAGAATGTTACAAAATACGTCAGCCTTCCCCAGCTGAGAGAAAAGTTCAAGCTTCAGCTGAGCTACAAGGAATAAAAAAATTTTCGAAGCAAAGACGAGCGATATTTGCTTCATGTTTCCAAGTCTGTGCAAAGAAGCAATAGGAAATTTTGTGTATGGAAAAAGAAAGAAAGTGTGGCTATAATTCTAGCGAAATAAAATGGCAGTCGTGATAAAACAGCGTTGTATAGACGAACCATGTCCGTGTGCTCCGCCTCCGAGCCCGCAAAGTGGTGCTCGAAAAAAATTTTGCTTCGATAAACTTTCACCAAGCCCGTTCTCAAGCAGCGAAGGCAATGAGGTTGATATACGAGAGTTTCTGGTTGCTTCTCTATCAAGAATGAACGTTGGCAGTTCATCCCTTAAACGGAAACAGCGAACAGAATCGAACGACTTTGCAACTTTCGAAGTCTGTGGTTCGACACCGAATGGGAAGAAGGTTAAAAGCTCTGGACTTCACAAGCAAGCACTGTTGCCGCTTATTACGGCTGTGAATGGCAGTCTTGTTGTCGAAGGACGGAAGAGAGAATTAATGCAGTTAAATTGAGGATTTTACTTTTAAATGGGGAATAAAAATGCGATAAAATCGCCACGTCTGCCAAGTCAAGAACTCTGAAAGTCAAAGAACTCGTCCAGTGACCTTTCTGGTTTTGTCTTGAGAAATTTTACTGCAAAGACAGCATTATTTTGACGCCAGAAGTCTTGTGATTTTTGTGCAGATATCACAAGGAATGATTCTATAGTATTCGGTTTCTTTTAAAGTCAGATATTGCTTGGTATGGGGTCCTTTGTTATCAGCAAATATTTTCAATCTACCGTGAATTATGTGTACATTTCATGACATCCCAAACGATAGATGTCACGCATATTGTATTAATTATTGCTGTAAGAACGTTTATAAATTTCTATGGAACATTCTCACGAATTCACCAAAATTTTTGCCAATATCGTTATTATGTTTTGTTCATCTTAGAAAATTACCACCTATATACAGTATTTATTCAATACCAGTTGTACAAATATACAGATAATTTTATACAGATAAAAAACTATGTAAATATAAAATATTCAGTTGTAATATATTTTTAAAATATTGGAATATTTCTGAAAATGGTTTTGTATAGTATTAAAATTATTCAAATTGTAGTAATATTATTAGTGCACTATATATTGAGTGCATGAAATGTATTATTAAAATGTTGTGTTTTATTGAGATTGTGTTTAATTTAAATACTAGTTCCTGTATATACTATTGTAGAGAAATAGTTTTAGATTCAATTTTAAGATTTTTATGGGGTTTTGTTGCCTGTTTTGGGCAAAGATTCAATAAATGTGTTGCTTGGCAAAATGCTAAATATTTTCATTGTTCATTGTGCACTAGTTTATAGGGCGAGTTAAGTGGCCATGTTGTGGGTGTCTTTGTTTCTGACTTATATAATATTATGTTTCTGGTATATACTTTAACTTGGGGAGGAAATTTTCCAGAAGACCTAGAAGGGTTTAATGTAAGAACTGTTTGCCTTCCTGTGGTGCTCAAGAATGCTACATTTTCTGGCTTGGTAATTTTGGTGACCAATTGGAAAGATGCAAAACAGGGGGTGTACCCTGGCAACATTAAGACCGATTGCTAAGGAAACAATATTTTGCTATAAAAGCTTGAGTGTCATTCAAATTACCATGCCAAAAACAAAATGCTTGAGACCTTAATTTCTTTCATTTTCGAGTACCCTCTAATTGTCAAACAATTGTGACAAAATAAATTTCTTTATGTAAGCTTTCATTATACAGGGTGAGTAAAAAAAACTGAACCTTTGTTATAATTTGAATATCAAAGGTATCAGTTTTTTTTACTCACCCTGTAGTACAGGTTTACGTGATGTTAGCTTTATATCATATTCAACCCACACACACTCATATTCAAACAAATACACAATTGCAAAGCATTGAAATATTGGCTGGTTCACACTAGCAATTTTGCCGGCGATATGGTGTTTCTGACGGATGCAAACAAGTGAACTGGCACACAAAAGTATGGAGTCGCTTTTCAGAAGTGCACCAGATTAAAAAAAAATTAAAAAAAGAACAAGCTTCTATTCATTGTTGGTCATCCAATCTTTGACAATTACTAATAATCTTCTCAAGATACCAAGGTCAAAGGTATGGAAATATATATGAGGTTTTACCACCGGTTTTACCACCGGTTTTACCAGACTTTATATATTAGGCATGCAGATTCCTGTATATATTACTGAACTTAATGGTCAATTTTTTAATCCAAAAATTTCTCAAAAATGATTAAAATTTCAGAAATGATTGAAATTTCATATAGAATATCAACACTATCATGGTCATAGTTTCATATTATTCAAGTAAAACCATGTATGTAACATATTGTGCAAAAGAAATCAGATATATGTTACAAAATGCAAATTCTGATGTCTTTGGTACTATCCCCATTCGTTTATCCCTTGAACTTGACCTTCATGGTCCTTCATATCCACTCTCCAGATCCATTTCTGTACCTGACTGTCATGGTCAGACTAGCTTTCTTGAACTTGACCTTGTATTTAGCAAACCAAGTTGAAGGTGAACCATGCATCTACTGCTCAGATGTAATACTGGAGAGTCAAACTGGTATTGTATTTCTGGTATGTTATAGATATATTCATTGGTGGTATTCTATCACACAGCCATTATATTTATAGATATACTTGTATTATAGACACCAGTAGGACTGACCTGATGAATAAAATCATCTGGTGTTAGACAGAGCGAAATAATAGAGTGGGTGCATCAGAGCACAATGCAACTTAATGGGTTAACCAGACACTACACATGGTAGTGTCTATTGACACTTGTGAAACTCATCCACACCGGGCAAGCTGAAAAGTTAGCTTGGCCCCAAGCTAACTTTTCAGCTTGCCCGGTGTGGATGCACACTCAGAGTAACATCACAAACATCATATTCACCTGAGTACATAACACCAACACATACACAAAATAATCACTTGTAAAACTCATTAATAATTCATGAAGGGTACATTGCCACTTCTTAAAGTGTTAATATATGACAATGTAATTAACCCTTTAAATGGCAATGTACCCTGATGCACCCTACTTTAGTATTTGACTCTGTCTAATGCCAGACGATTTTACTAATTGTCAAGTGGAGAGTGCTACCACATACTCTTAAAGTCAAATGGATTCCATGCACAGCTAACACTGGATCAAGTCAGACTGATACACATTTATTATCTCACATTTTTACAGTAATATAAATACTGTTGGACTTCCAGTCATATTAATTTCAAAAAATCACCTAATTTACATACACAATGAACAACATATCAAAATAAAATGCTTCTGAAAGTGTTACTATAACCTAATTTGTATTCACATCACCCCCACTAATAATTTATAAAATCATGATAGATATAAGATCAAAATGACTTAACACACATTATGAATGTCAATTACAACTATTTGATTATCTGCATTAGTTGTGTAATTATATCGAGGCATCACCACATTAGTTAGTATCAGTTACTGTAACCCAGTGGCACAGAATAGGAAGTTATACCAGAAGCGTAACTCGAGCAAATATTTGTCCGCGTTTTTACAAGCGATTCGTCATCAATCACGCCATCCTGGCTAGTACAACCGGCACTTTGTACCTACCAAATCCTGATAAAAACTTCCGGTTGTACTAGCCAGGATGGCGTGGCCTGACGTGAGCAAGTTAAAAATTTTCGTGGACGTCAAACAATAAGGGAAACGACTAGAGTTACGCTTCTGGTATAACTTCCTATTCTGTGCCAGTGGCATCAAGCTAGCCATGTCAACTGGTTATGCTATGCTAATGACCTGGATCTAAATAGCTACGTAGGTTATTGTCGATTTCATATTACTTTTCAAAGTGTGGTTCCCAAGTTTGTTGTCAACTTGCCAATTACATTTCCAAGTTCATTTCAAAGTTCGAACTTCGATTGTAAACAAATGTAAAATTTTCATTTATATATATTTATGTAATAAAAAGGCATTTTTCGTCTTCAGCGCCCGGAGATCACTGGACCAATATTTTACTGCAGTAATATGTGCATAAGGGCCTTATACAGTAATTTCAACTCCAACTATGAACATTAATGTTTACAATCAAAGTTCGAACTTTGAAATCAACTTGCTAACTTCGTTGCGAATTTCCCGCCCAACTTCCGAATTTGGAAATGTAATTGGCAAGTTGACAACAAACTTGGGAACAGCGTGTTGAAAAGTAATCTGAAATCGACAATAAAGAAAATACATTTCCAAAGGTCTGAGTAATGCAAATCATTAAAAATTTGCATGCATGTCCTGTTGGTAAGGCTAGCTTAAATGCCATTGAGTAATTAACATATTAACACTTCACCACTCTATGCCATTATTCTTTGCTAGGGTTAGTCTGGGACTGTTTTCAGAGTAAAATTGAGAATACCATTTTCTATGTTTCTTTATTCCTATGTCTTCTTTGACTAGCAGCGGTTTTGAGAGATATGTCTTGTAGTTCCATACCATTACATCTCGTTCAAGCTAAGTAGCATAAGAATAAATATAGTCAGCACTATAAAGGGAAACTTTTTAACAGCATTAGAGTGGAAATAGTGGTTCAGAAAGAAAAGTTTAAAAAGTTTGATTTGAAGGGGGATCCTCTGCTTCTTTGCATGTTAAGCTGGAGTGAGAAAAAATATTGAAATCCATTCCATTTAAGGGGGTCCTAAGTTGAAAACAATGTAGCTGTGATGTAATTACCGGAAAAGTCTATTGTGTCTCTCAAAATTGAAGTTCTGCAATTATCGCACCTTATCATGGTGTACATTATGAATGTTTAACCCTTTAGATGGCAAATTGGTCCCTGATGCACCCTACTTTACTATTTTACTCTGTCTACACCAGACAACTTTACTTGTCAAGGGGAGAGTGTGCCACTCATGTGCAGTGTGTTAAGTATATTCTAATATTTGTACCGCAACCTTACCTGTACTGCTTCGGCATACAACATGACTTTTCCCATTATATTTGGGCAACTACCATAATTTGTTTGACATAATCTTTGTAAGAGTGGCTCGACAGGAGTCACCTCATGAGTGAAGGCACCTGAACCATACTTCGATTCCCATCTCATGTACACAATACCAGGTCCAATCTGATGAAAAAAATGCAAAGAATGAGTGTTGCAATCCTGCGTAGCCCAAAAATCAGTGGTAATAAATTTCTGTTGAATAAAATACATTTAAACTATTACTACTACCCAGTCTCCGAATGCATAGTTTATGCAGGGTCAGCTTTGTGATACCGTACATACATTGTCGGCGTTTGTCGCACATCACAAATCTAGCTGACTGTACATATAGACTTTGCAGTCGGGGACTTTCTCTGTTCCTTTCTACAAATACTCTTATCCTGCCTCATGACTATCTGACCATGCATCCTGTTAACCCTTTAAGTGACAATGTGTCCTACTTTATTTTTTTACTCTGTCTATATGACAATTTACTTCATCAAGGGGAGTACTGCCAGTCAATGGGTTAAACTGTCTTAGTTACCTGTTTGGCTTGGACTTGGATGTCGAAGAATGACAAATGATATCCAAACAGATGAAGTCTCTGAACAATTGAGAGTACAGAACAATGTTTCTCGTCCCCGTCGAGTGGCGTCCAGGAGGCAATCCACTCGTGGTAGCCGAAATTCCAAAAACTACTAAAAATTTTGTTCAAATTTGTGCCAGATGGGAGGAGTGGTGTGTGAAGTATGTTTAGATGATTGAGATCTGCACCATTTTCAGGCAAATCCTGGAAATAAGATGAGATGTTGGTGACAAAGTGATATCTATGATGTTGTGTCTTTCACATCTTTGAATAGAGTCAATTCCTTCAGGATTTTGGATTTTGGGTGTCTCACTCAATAGAACAAAACGTTGAAGGCTGCAAGTCAAGGATGCCCAAAATTCAGGCACAGAATAGGAAGGTACACCAGAAGTCTCACTCAAGCAAGTACTTGTCCGCGTTTTTACAAGCGATTCGTCATCAATCACGCCATCCTGGCTAGTACAACCGGCACTTTGTACCTACCAAAACCTGATAAAAACTTCCGGCTGTACTAGGTAGGATGATGTGAGCGAGTTAAGTTACACTTCTGCTGTACTTTCCTATTTTGTGAGTCAGGGGTATTAATGACTCTGAAAAAGTGTACAAGATTATACTGTATAATCATGATTTTTTTGTCATTTTTATATTTTTTTTTGGTTTATATTTTTTGCATTCTTTGTTTAATGTGTTTCTCTTCATTTTTTGTGATTTTTCAAATTTGTTGTGTGATTTAGGTGTACACAATTTAAATCGGTGATTTGTCGACACCTCATACCAAATTTTTCAATTATTAGCATTATTATTTTAAGTTTACTGCCATATAAATCACTTTCCTGAAAGCCAGATCTTTCTAGTACAGTAATATTACCCACCTCAATATGACAGTTTATATGATGCACGGTCTGACCACAGTATCGCCAAGTACCATTCTGTACCTCCTCTAGGTCTTCTGGGAACCAGTCCGGTTCCGCCCCTTCGGCATGGTACCATATATAAATCCGATTATTCTTCTCAATTGTATTCCATGACTTGGTCTTAGCAAACTCCGGCACACCTTTACTATAGGGTACTTCCACACACGCCCCACTGTCACCTTCAAAGCGCCACCCATGAAATGGACATTGGATACAGCTACCTTTGACCTGCCCACCCACCGCAATATTTGCACCAAGATGCGGGCAATATGCATCCAAAATATACGCAACTCCGTCTTCCCCGCGGAAAACCGCCAAATGTTCGCCTAAAATTTGCACATATTTAACTCCTTTGATCGGCAACTCCGCGGAGGAGATCACAAAGAACCATCCGTTGGGGTAGACAGGAGGAATTTCACCAATTTTCCGCCTTTTTCGAACTTGATTTGCAGTTTCCCGTTTGGAAAGGCCGCCATTCAAGTAGCCTGCATCTGCTAGGTTGCATTTATAGTCCAGAGGCGAGAACAGAAAACTCCACAAACGTTTCAACGCGTAAACAACAACAGATACCCCGGCAAAGAGCTGCAAAGTGAAACATTGCAACAAATACCTCGCGTAACTATATGCATGAATAAACACGTTGTGCGAACTTTCAAAATTGATCACACCCGCTGCAAACCCGTAGAAGTACTCTGGCAGCTCTAAAATATTTACAAATAAAGGAGTAGCAGTTGCAGCTACTATTAAAACGACGGCAATCACAGTTTTCCGAAAGCGGATCATTATTGTCGACCAGTTTTGTGGTTTGATCTTGCTGTTCCTGCCAATGAGCGACTACCATCGATTCAAATTTGCTTTTGTTGACATTCAGGGAAACTCATGAACTTTGAACATGGACGAATTTGATTGGTTGACTGTTGGTATATTATTTCGAACAGCCAATTAGAATGGGCATGGAGGTGGCGTGAGTTGTATAAATATTATACAACAATTTTTATAGTACAATGTCGCTATTTACATGTAATTATTTTTTGTTTTGTTTAAAACATTGGCTACATTTATGTTCTTTTCATAGACAGCTCAAACAAGTAACAAATTTTAACCACGAGGTATTTTAATTAGTGTAAAAATACATCAAAATATGCACAACTTAGCGTGTACTAGGAAAAAATCACCTCTTTGTACAAGTCCTGAATAAATAAACTGTGTCATTAATCAAAGTACAAAGCGTCGCAGCAGCAGTTGTTGATTGCTATCATTATTACACAGCAACCAACAGTAACTTTATATAACCTATACTTATTCCTGAGTATAGTCATATAAAAGCTGCTGTTCCCCCCAGATTGCGAACACATATCAAACCAGTATCACATCAGTATCAAGATCATCAAGTGTGCCGCAACTGCATGTCTGCTTTTTCAGTGTCAAAACATAATTAAACATTTAATACATTAATTGTCACTTGAGACTGTCGAGAAAGTGCAAGATCTTTTCATGTATAAAGTAAAACTAAAACTATAAAATTTTAAGCGTTTTTTCCGCATCGGTGCGTACACACACGGAAAAGTTTAATTTTAAATGTAATAAACTAATGAAATCACTAACTGAACAAAAGGAAAACATTTAGTTTTGTGTAAACGTGTACCAGTATTTGTTGAGGGACTTTGCACTAATATAAAATTTAGAAAGATTTCAACATTTCCGTGCGAAAACGCACGTTTGCCACGCAAAGCTGCTTCAAGAATGTTTGGAATGGGACTATCATGTTATTAAAATGCAATTATTACAACTGTATGATTTGCATAAAATTTGCATATATTACGACCTTTTGAGTCGGATTTCCATTTGAACCAATCAGAAGTAGACAAGTTTGCCGAGACGAGTCATTCACGATGCAGTTCCGAATATACTTCGAGATGCTCTCGTAATAACTTCGTGTATAGTCGTTTGTCATAATCCAAGATGGCGTCCAAGAAGAGCGGTAAACAAGCTGAGAGTTTACTTTCAAAGGTAAATTGTACAGTTTTCCGTACATGTTGACTTGTATTTGCATTATTTGACGTTTGAAGGAAGGAGTTTAATCTGCCTTTAAAATATGTAGATATAATAATGTATAAAGCTCTATAAATTTGGGGGCAAAAAGCCCAGTCAAAAATATAGACAATAAGGCCAATGAAAATTGAAATCATGTTTCTCGTCCACAATTTTCAAAAATTTGGAGCGGGATTTTTTCATTTTTCATTATTTTTTGTGTTTGAATTCTGCTTGTCAATAATTTCCTTCACCCATAAAAATCTGAAGTAAATCGGTGTATAATTCATTTGTATATTTCTACGCATACCAGGGCTGACATGAAAAATAGAGGCATTCTGGCGAGTAATGTCTTTAGAAAGATACAATTTGAGTTGCGCTTGCCGAATGCAGCAATAAGACTTCAATCTGGACATCAATTTGGTGTTTTATTAAGCCTATTTTTCAAAAATAATGAATAATGAAAAATTTTTGTGCGGCAGATAAAACCCATGCGGGCGGGGACGAGAAACATGATATAAATTTTCATTGGCCTAAACTACATATTTTTGAAGATATGCTGTAAAAGACCATAAACTTATATGTTTTTAAAGATATGCTGTAAATATACACATAACTTTGAAATCACTCCAGTGTGCCAACAAATTTCATAATCTCATGCCAGAGATCTGCAGCGTGGTGTACTGCGTACATCCAGGGCCGCCGAGAGGTTGGCGGGGGCCCGGGGCAAATTTTTTTTAGGGCCCCTATTTAAATTTTTTTTTAGAGAACAACCTCCCCCCCCCAAATATTTGAGAAAATAATGTAATGTCAGTTTGGTGGTTGGAAATGACTGAAAACCGTGTTGAAGGCCTGTGTTGGCCTGGAGATGACAAAGCACAACTATTGATTGCCAATGGCAGGAGACTCCTAGGACCATATATGGGCATGCTCCTCCACTTCATGCACTTTGGGAGTAGATTTTATAGAATTATATGGATACTGCAGTCCTTGAAATTAGCATAATTCCTTGTCGGCAAAAAATTACCGTCAATATTTTAGAGTTCGGCGGCAATGCTGATGGCAATTTTTTTTCTTTAAAAAGTTAAATGGCTTTTTTTGCTTCTCAATACTTAAAAAGTAGAAGATACATAGTATCGAAGCACATGGAAGAAACTCATCATTTGTGGCCGGCGGAGTGTCTATATTTGTCATTTATGAACAACAAAAGGAACAAGCAACTAAAGATAATCATCATTATAGTCATCTGTTCATATTAATAAAATATACTAGCAAAGCTTTCAGAAGAATCAGTAAAAAAAGAAGGCAATGCCAAAAAATCATCAACAGCAATTTTTTGCCTAAGATAATTTCATTTTCGGCGGCATTATCGACAGCATTATTGCCATTTGCCATCACTAATTTCGAAGACTGATACTAATGGTCATTCTATATGGAGTTATGTGTATATTATATAATTGTAGTGGTCTGTAGGAGATGAAAAACCAGTGACGATTGACAAATGGGATGGGAATGCTGTCAAGAATGCACTAGATGATGCTGTCAGAAAGGTTGGTTTGTTTCTGTGAAGAGTTGTTTCCTGTCTCAGTTTGGCCGCATTTAAAAATATTTCCTGATATATCTGGTCCAAATATCTTCAAAAATTCTTTGCACATTTTTTGCAGGTTTTGACAGAACATCTGAAATTTGTTGAAAATCACCGTGTGATTGACACAAGGCTTGCGATATGCACCATAGCCTGTCTCTTTGCTGTTGCTGCATTAATTTATGACTACTACATTCCATTTCCCACCTCTCGTCCAGTCTTGATCCTTTGCGTCCTCTCGTATCCTTTGGAAAGTCGTTTGTATAGAAAATAGTATGGTTTTGATGCACTGTTTATGATGCACTAGGGGTGTCGGCCACACAATGGTGGAAGCATGTGAATACATGGAGTTTCATTCCCGCATATTAATGAAGCTGTATGATTATAATTTTGCCTCAGTTTCATGTGAAATGAGTTTTTCCAGTTTTGCCTTGACAAGCACTGCAGGCATAGGCATACGGGACGGGGGAGGGCAGCTGCCCCCCAAAAAAGATTACAAAGTCGGGCAAATGTTCAACATAAGTCTGGCGAAGAGTGGGAAATTAAAAAGCCAAAAAAGTAGTCAAAGCAATAAAATCTCTCTTAATAATAACCCCAGTTTGTTGGGCAAACAAAGCCAGTAGGGCAATATTCGCTTCACAGTCGGGCAATATTGGGTTATTATAAAAATAAATGGGACAAATTCTGTCAATTCTGTGGGAAATTTTGATGTTTGGAAAATTTGTTTGATGTTCCGAAGAATTTTGGTATGTCCGAAAAATTGTTGGACCCCTAAAATGGTACACTGGCCAAAATTTTTTTTTGCGACGGGGGGGGGGAGGACGGCACCAAAATGAATTGTTACGGAAAAAAAAAATTTCGGCACTGGTCGGGCACAAATCGAAAAAGTCGGGCTAATTTCTTTCCGCCCCCTTAATTTTTCCTTCCGGTGTGCCCATGACTGCAGGTTATCTCCAGGTACTCTCATTTCTTCCAGGAATAACACCAGACCAATAATGGAGGCCCTTTATTGCATCTCTTGGGTAGAATGATTTAGAATTGATAGAGCTATCCAGTATAAATACAATTAGTTTAGTTCAATTTTTGTTCTAAAACAAGATTAATAAAATGATGTTCCTTCAACCTGTTTATTTCATAAATTATTCTTTAATTCAATCCAAGATATTTTCTCTTAATGGGTGTACTGACCATGTTCACAGCATTCAAAGAACAAAATTTCATCGTATTTGCAAATGAAAAAGACAAAGCTGGCATGGTAAGATGGTCATGGCTTTAAATACTTTCCAATGCAACATCAAATTTTATCATCATAATGAAAAACTAAACAATGTTCTTTTCCCTAAGGGTCCTGATCATTTGTGGAGTGTGAGGTCGTCACTGAAAAGATATGATGATATTTATGAACTGATTCTTTCCTACGAAGACGGTGAAACAAAAAGGAAAGAAGAACAGTCTCTTAAAAAGTAAGGGAAATGAACCTGATTTACATGTTGAGCACCAGAGCTTGCCTCTTGACAAGTAAAATTGCCTGCCATTGCATGGGCTGAGTAAAATAATAAAGTAGGGTGCAATGAGACCTTGTAGAATGGAATGTGTTGAATGTTAATTTACATTGTATATATGTGTTTTGATAAACGATTTTGACATATGAATTGTTTTAGGTCTGTTGCATCATGGTTTGATGAAAATGGAGTTCTTCTCTTTGACATTTTCTTAAATGACATAAAGGAAATGCACAAGGGTTTGAAAAAGGAGAAAGCACAGTAGCAATTCAACAATTTAGCAGTTGTATAATGTATTGTAGCAATATTAAGATCACATTATTAAACACACAATGCAGAATTTGATTGTTTTCAAGTGCCGAGGTTTTGCAAGTGGGAGACGAGGTGTAGTATAGGTTGTGATATTACTTCAAGATTTTCAGCTGTACCTAATTGGTACCAACCTCATACCCAGGACCATTAGGGAGTTTGGCAAATACAACGGTAACATGGTCATCAACAATAGCATTGATCCGTCTCATCCACAAAGGAAAATGTAAATTACATGGTCTTAAGCATTGTTGTGCAATGCTGTAGTTGTTGAAACTGGTAGTCTGGTACGTGATTTGCATCATTTTCACAGTGCATGACTACGGCAACAGTTAATTCGTTCGATGTTATTTGAGGTGTTTCGTTTGAATTCGCAGACTACTTTTACATAAAGAGCTGTTTGAGAGAAACAGGAATACTTAGAGGCAAATAAAGTGTAGTAAATAGTAACATATTCTTGGGCTCAAATACAACAATATAAGTAATTATAATTTTGCCGTTGTCGTTCTAGGTTGCCAAACTCCCTATCAGAGTCAGTGATGAAGCTAGCCATAGTAACAGGTCATTTTATGCAAATTTTAATGATTTGCTAATGATTTGCATTATGCAAACCTCTTTAGTAATATATTGTCTTACAGTAGTTTAACCTATTTAGCTGCAGGTTTATTAGCATAGCATGACCAGTTGCCATTGCTAGCTTCACTGCTGGTTAGAGTGCTGTGTGTATCTTGTTACGACAGTAAAAACCTGCACAAAAGAACCACTATTTTATGTCAAACTAATGTCTAACTGGGTCTTCTAGAATAGGTACTTAGTGAGAATTCAGGCTTCGATTCTCATGGTTCTTATTCCTAGTCAAAGGTTAATCTCTATTCCTAACTTAAAGGGTTGGTCTCTATTCTGTAGTCCAGCTGCCAAGATCTAGCCAATGCAACATTTTTTATATCTCGAAAGTATGTTTTTTATGTTTTAATTCATTAAGTTTTCTTTAATAAGTTTACAAGGTCAAATAGGCATTATTTATCTATATGTGGTGAGTGCTTTGCAGGTTCTCAATTACACAAACTAACCATTGTTTGCAGGTAGTTGTATGACATAATTACAATATACTATTTAATATTTCTGAAAATGTTTCTTTCCATACTACACAAGAATGTATGCATATACTACTTTCGAAACCCTATTCACTTAAACATACAAAAATGTGGAAAAAGTTCAATTTCAAAAATTCTCCCACCAACCACAAAATAATTAATTTTAATACAATTAAGTTCTTATAAGTAATGTAGAGTTTTAAAATGTGATTTAGTCCAACATTTATTTTTCCGTCATTCCACGGACTTCGCCTTGTTTTCGTTGTTCTTCAAGCTCTGCCTTTGTCTGTTCTTCCAACTGTCGGATATCTTGCATCGTCATGCCAAACCACTTATCTAGCCAACAGAATAGCTGCCGATGGAAATTGGTTAGTAACCGCTTAACCGATTTACAGATTAGGTCCTCGACCTTCCCTTGAAGCATAAACCATTTGAACTTAATACGATACAACTTGTAGCACGTCATAATTGGCATGTCTTTGGTCTTGATGTCCTCCTGCCAAGTTTTTGGATCCAATGGCCCACGGCCGGTCTTCTCCGAGTGGAACTTGGTCGGATCCTCGTCTTCCTTGTAGTCCCGCGACTCAACCGGTTTTGCAATATCAATATTGACGATCTCTCGTTTCTTCAACAACTCCGGCGACAAATCATGAACATTCTCGATATCTTTATTCCCAGGTTTATGCCAGGTATCTATTATTATATGAAATGAATCCCCCATATATTCATTTGTGTACCATGTTCGACAAAAAGGATAGGCATTCCATGCTTTCTCATGGATTTCCAAGGAGCCTTTGGGTGCTAGGGCACGGACATAACCGGGAACTTTTTTGGATAAATGAATTATTTTATACGTATACTGACATTTCCCAAACTCTTCGTGTTCCTGAGGCTCGTTCGTGACAACTTCTATGCCGTCACCTCCCCCCGTTTCATTTTTGCTCGCTTCTGCCACAGCATACAATTGCCCGATTTGGTACTCCTCGACAGAAATCGGTAGTGGTATTCGATACTCTTTAACTACACTAGTCCCCGGTAGGTCTCCCTTACTATCCGGTGGCGATTTACTAGCCATTTTACGCAGTTTTTGACGCTTTAAACAAGTCGAAAACGAAGCTAAAGTGGCTTCCTAAAGCTTTTTTTGTGGTTTGTGGCTTTATTTGTCACATGGGTTGTGTACAAATGTGTACAAACACGTACAAAGTAGGTTGAAAAGTGGGTACAATTATGTACATTTGGGTACTTCTGTGTGGGGCATTCGCCCAGGACGGCTCGCGTATCCGGGAAGAAAATACGTAGGGTCTTACTTCGTATAGTTGTGCAATATATTCCTGTAATGGCTTGCTGTGGTGCGTCACTGCTTGTCTCGCGTTTTGAAATCTTATAAATTGACCTTAATACCATTGAAATGAATATAACCGAAACGCGACCTTCAGATAAACTGCCTATCTTTTTCTTTACGCCAAAATGTGACCCCCAGACACGCGTGTTTAAAAGCGCTCTTCGCATGTAAATCACGATTTCCCTGCAATGAAATCCTTCTCTCCTCCGCAGAGGCTTCCAATGTTTCATTGCTTGGCAAACGAAGATTTTAAAAAGAATGCTTACAACGATTTTGCACGTGTTGGACCACAGGGGGCCCCACTATGAGTTATGATTGAAATAATATTGTATTTATTTTTAAAAACCTACTTGAATCCCTTGATAATCGATTATTTCTTCTCTCGAAATTCTGTAAACATTTTAAACTGCTTGAATCCATTATACTATCACTCTACATGAAGTATAGGTGATCGCTGACAAGTAAGAACGCGGGCGCGAAAATACGAAGGCGGCAAAAGAAGGAAGAATTAAACTTCTTCCTTCTTTTGCCGCCTTCGTATTTTCGCGCCCGCGTTCTTACTTGTCAGCGATCATCTATACTTCATGTAGAGTGATAGTATAATGGATTCAAGCAGTTTAAAATGTTTACAGAATTTCGAGAGAAGAAATAATCGATTATCAAGGGATTCAAGTAGGTTTTTAAAAATAAATACAATATTATTTCAATCATAACTCATAGTGGGGCCCCCTGTGGTTGGACACGTGGGGTCAGCTTAAACTGAAGAGGTCGAAATCCAACCCTCAGGGCAGCCTAGACCTAGGCCTTCTAGTCTTATTTATATTTTTTAGTATTCAGCGGTTTTTCACATGAAAAGACTGGGACTAGGTGATGCTTGCGTCAGGCTTGTGTCCTTCCTCCGCCCCGCCCCCAAATTATCTAGTCCCAGTCTTTTCATGTGAAAAAGCGCTGAATATTAAAAAAATATAAATAAAAATAGAAGGCCTAGGTCTAGGCTGCCCTCAGGGTAAACCCACTCTTAAACCGGATATGGTTATAACGGAAATATAGCTGGGGGGAAAGAGCCAATAGGAATGCAATACGCTACGCTGTATAAAATAGTTCGAAGATCAAAACGCGTGCACGAATAGAGCTTTCTGGCGCGTTCGATAGGTTCGATTGTTGGCATCTGCTTGAAAAATTTGATAATTTTCAGATAGTTTCGTTCTAAAATGCCCAATAAAACTGTAGTTTTAGCTTACAGCGGTGGCCTCGATACCTCATGTATTCTAGTTTGGTTGAAAGAAGAAGGCTACGATGTCATTGCCTATTTGGTATGAAATAGTTTAATTGCTATTTTTGTCTAACTATTTTGTTAGTGAATATTTATATCAACTACTTTTTAAAACATTTTCCATAATAATATTTGTTTTTGTAACTTTTCCAAGAAGTATAATAAAGTACGACCCCATAATTGGGCACTAGTATTTACACATCCTAGTTCCTTTACAATAAAACCCATTTTATTTATACAAAACAGCTTCATTGATGAAATGTGCTACCCCAGGCCGAAAATACCCCTGATTGTTAAAGAACAAGCCATCGCTAACTTGTGGGGGGTTGTATATTTCAAATCAAATGTCGAGATTTGTATTTACACTTTGGTACAAGCTAGAAAGCTACAGTTCAGTGAGTTCACCATTAACACATGCAAAATTGCATCAGACTTTTTCTTGTCTTTGTCCGTTTGTTTACATACGATTTTGCTTGCCCATATATTAAAAGCATTTAATTTACACAGAGCAGATGTCTTGTTAATTTAATAGTGTTTGCAGTTCGTATTAAAATAGGTGCCACATATTCTTATCACTGTTATAAAATTATAATAACCCTTTGGTATGCGAGTGCAAATAAGTGTTTTTATGACTTGGTGAACCTCTGCAGTGGAAAAATATTCATTGGCTTTTAATTTATACAAGTCTACATACTTCAATTTGTCTGACATATTTCAGGTTTTTCTAAATGATAATATTAATGAATAATGTCAGTTAATAAATAATATGTCACCAGCTATAAAGTAGGTGTGAAAATTCGCACAGAACTAGCAATTTACTATAATTATAATTTTTATGATAATGTCTGTTTTTGAATGTGTTACTCTCAATTTCAATTTGCTTTTCAAAACTGACTTCCAATGTTTACTTGTAAATTCGAAATGTTTGTTGTAAAGTTCCGAAGTTTGTTTTGAAGTTCGTTCCGATGATTTACGATAATCAAGTTTAGTAAGTTGTAATTGGCTAGTTAAGTGAACAATCAAATCGAATCAAATCGCTTGCTATTGAATCATCGTAAATCATTGTGACGAACTTCGAAACAAACTTCGGAACTAATTACAACAAACATTCCGAATTTACAAGTAAACATTGGAAGTCAGTTTTGAAAAGCAAATTGAAATCGAGAGTAATGCAGATGATAAAGATTGGATAAGATTGAATAAGATCCATTACCCTAGTATAGGGGGTGGGGTGGGATGTCTAGGCTTCATGGGTGAAATTGTGTAGCATTTAATTAAAATGTATATGCATACCCTACTCTTCTGCAATGGGTTGAACTAACATAGTCGTCCGGCAGTAGACATGATAAAATAACAAAATAGGGTGCATTAGCCATTAGGGTTCAACACATGTAGCTGAATAGGTTAATCCAGTTAATGATAAAGTAATTTTTGATTACATGTTATTTCTGCCTACCATCCTTCTTTCTAGACAAATAAGATGGTATTTCCTGACTTTGTTTTCAAATGGAAGTGATAATAAAGGTCCATTGAGTCAGCAGGGGGGCATGAATGCATTGTTGTGTTGTTTTGCTAAGCCACTAACCTGTTTAGCCATACTAGCTACTTTGTTATTTTACTCTGTTTAATGGCAGATATATTGATTAAGAAGAAGTTGTTGAACCTTCGTATTTTACTCTCTCTAATTCCAAGTGATTTTACTGGTCTCGAGGGCAAAGTTTCAGTTAACATAGTACACTGTAATTGTAGTAATTATCTAGTTTTTGAATGCATGTTATTTTTGGCTGCTTCTGTACTTTTCCAGAATAAAATTGCAATGTGTGATAAGATTCATTTTATGATTGTGTGAGCTATTACCCATCAGGGGAACCAATGCTATCTTAGAAATTGTGTAGGATTAACCCATTAAGTCTTGCTACTTTGTTCCTTTCCTCTGTCTAATGGCATGCAGCTTTATTCAGCTGGGGAAAAGTGAACATTAATGGCGATTATCTACCCTGATCTCGATCTTTTTAACTTTGAGTGCATTTGCACCCTGATGTTCCTACTTCTTTGATAAAACTCCTCAACAACCATATATGGTGTTTATCATTAACTTATCAGTTGTACTCCACCCTGACACACCCTACTTCATTATTTTACTCTGTCTAATGCCAGACAATTTTACTCATCAAGGGGAGGGTTCTAGTGCTAAATGGATTAATCAGACTATCTGCCCATGTGTCTAGTAAATCCATTAAGTTGCAGTGTGCCCTGACACACTCTACATTATTATTTTACTCTATCTAATGCCAGACAATTTTAAGGGGAGAGCACTGGTGCTAAATGGGTTAATCACATGTAATATCAAATCTATAAAATTTGACTAGTACAAGAAACTTTATAAGATTTACCCATTGAGTGCGAGTGCTCGTCAGGGCAGGAAAAAAGAATTTTCTTTGTGGGAGCACAACCTGAAGACAGAAATGTCCTGCAGACCAATGGAGTATTTTTGTGCTAAATCTGCATGTGCATAAACATATAGTGTTCTAGCTGATCATGGTTCTAAATTCAAGGAATAATGTCTGTCAAACCATACTGTATGTTGTTGCACCCATGGTACGTGGCACATGGGTGTTAAGGTTTCCTTCAAATTTTCAATAGCAAATCTTTAATCAAACAAATTTCCTGTAGCTGTTTAACATTTCCTGCGAGCACTCGTGCCCCTGGTGCTCTTCCCTTGACAAGTAAAATCGTCTGGCATTAGACAGTAAGCCACATGAGCCATTAATTAGAGTGCAATGCAACTTAATGGGTTAATCATCTATTAAACTCATAGGAATGTAGAGAACTGAGTGGGTAGTCTCTCAAGAGTCTGTTAAGTACAAATATAAGTTTCAATTTCACAAGCTAATATATTAAAATTGCTTGTTTTTGGCTTCTAAAATATGCTGTTTAGTATTTCGTGACATACAAATTAATGAAATAAATGTACTTTTAACCAATCAGAATTGAGAATTTTTCGGCAATTAGTGAAATAGTATCATATGCGCGGAAATAATTAAAATATTCGTATTATCATCAGTTTAATTGCTTCCTTTAAAAGTTGTAAATTTTTAAAATCCAATTTCATTTTATTTGCTAGCTTATATCTGACTGGGACAACTGAAAATGGAGATGTTTTATCTCATGAATATATTAACGGTTTAAAGCCAGCTTTTAAATATCGTTTATAACGTTATATAAATTCCTATAAAATATAAATGGTATTATGGTTACTGGGTTACATGTAATGATGCCACTAAGCTGCTATATTGCCAATTATCCAAGATTTAGCTGTTAAATTGCCAATTATCGTATCGTTTGTGGCCGTACATTGCTCATTAGATATATTGATAATTCTAATGAGTGGGTCGAAATCAGTGTCTCTGAGTCACTCTTGTCGGCTAAAAGTCAAGCCAATTATCAGCTGTCAGATATTTTTGCAAGATATCAGTTCCAAATTGCTCTTTCATTGTCTGTAGTAATTAACAAGGCGAATGCATCTTCTAGTTTTGCTAACAATGTGTAAGAGTTTGTCCGTTCCATTGACCGTGATTCCCTGAGCTATTGACTAAATTTTGATCTAGGCAAGAAGAACAAAATCCATCACCACAGCTGGAAAGAGCATGTTAAGATGAGTAAAATTGCAAAATTTTGGTTTTGGTAAAATTGGAAAGTTTGTATTACGCACGGGAAAATGCACCACTTTCGGCCCAAATGTGGGGCATTTTCCCGCGCGTAATTATACAAATTCATACAAAATTTGCAAATTTCGTAGGGCTATATTTTCCGCATTTTACAACATTTCACAACCAAACTTTGCAATGTTACTAATTTTAACATGCCCTTTCTAGCTGTGGTGATGGATTTTGTTCTTCTTGCCTAGATCAAAATTTATATTCTATAGCTGGAATTGCCTATTGTTCCAACGTATTTTGCTCCTTGGCAATGAAAACATTTCACCCCCCAATATATTTCAACCAAATGAAATTGCGGCTGAGAAGACGTTTAGTAACTAAATGATTTTCAAACATGCTTAGGCGAACATCGGTCAAGATGAGGATTTTGAGGAAGCCAGACAGAAGGCAACTAATTTGGGAGCAAAAAAGGTTAGCTTCGTAAGGAATCTTGTCTATATTGCTATCCAACAAATCTGATATCGTCTGCATGTTACAATTTGTTAACAAGTTGATGACAACAAGCTAAGCCTGGTTCACACAAGCAATTCTGTCGTTTTCCCCTCCTGGTAGATGTGATCGAATGAATGACGTGCAAAAGACTTAGAACTGTTTACTTCTGAAAAGCGACTGTATTCTTTTGTGTGCGAGTTCACTCATTTCCATCCGTCTGAAACACAAAATCCCGAAAAAATTGCTAGATTGCCCATACCATATGGTCGTAACGGTCGTAAAGAGTGATTCACGATCTTTCTCACCAGCCGAAATACAACATTTTAATAGAACTGAAAATACGCGGAGTGATTATAACTAGAGAATACTTCTGATTTATACTTGTGGTTTACAGGTATAAACTATTATAAACTGGCCGTTGAGAAAGATCGTGATTCTATTTTTACGACCGTTACGGCTTTATTTAGGCCATTTTCGACTAGGCGGAATTTTGCGCGCGGAGCGGAATTTCTCTTGTCTTTTCTAATTAGTTCCACCCGAGAAATCACAAGACAAAGAAAAATTCCACTCCGCGCGCAAAATTCCGCTTAATGGAAAATCGGCTTTAGTCTTGTTGGAACAACAAGTCTGTTACCGTCATCAACTTTGCAACAAAGTGATAACAACTTGATCCAGACTTGTCACAACAACTGGGAACAAGCAGCACGAACACATCTTGATATCGGCTTCACAACAACCTTGTGACAACGTGTTTCAGATCTGTAACAAAAACGTGCGCGTTTTTACGTGCGTGTAGATGACGCATAAATCCGACGTGGTGGGAATTATGAAATCTTCAATTGTTTTCTATTTAGGTGATAATTGAAGATGTTCGTGAAAATTTTGTCACCGAGTTCATGTACCCGATGATTCAAGCCGACTGCATTTATGAAGATCGTTATCTTCTGGGAACATGTTAGTTCAATGGACAAATTGCATGTTAGACTAAATTTTAATCTAAGTAAAGAGAGGGGAATCAAACACAACAGTTAAAAAGAACATAATGAAATTAGTAAGATTGCAAAATTTGGTTGCGAAATGTTGTAAAATACAGAAAATATTTCCTTGCGAAGTTTGCATTGCAATTGTTACCATTTTCGGCTCAAAAATGGTAAAAAATTTCCGCACGTAATATAAACATACTGAAAATATGCAAACTTCGCAAGGCTATATTTTCTGTATTTTACAACATTTCGTAACCAAATTTTGTAATTTTACTGATTTTAATAAGTTCTTTACGGGAATTTCCTTTTTTTTGCCAAGATCAAAAATTAGTCTAACATGCAAGTTGTCTATTCTTCACTTTTTTACTCGAGTTCATTTACACAAACTCTACGTTTGAACGTATCTTAAAGGCACAGTTCAGCATTTTGAATGATGGTTTTTAAGGCCCATTTCAGCCCTTTTAATTGAAAAAACTAACTATAGGAAAATCAATTATGCATAATTCAAGATTAATAAACTCAATGTTTTTAACAATAAAAATGTTTGAAATTAAAAGCCATCGCAGAAGGCTGGTCTGTGCCTTTAAATATTGACGTCCGTTTCTAGCCATTGCTCGTCCCTGTATCGCTCGTGGCCAGGTGAAAGTCGCGTTGAAAGAAGGAGCAGAATATTTGTCTCACGGAGCAACTGGAAAGGTATTCATGCATGATCAGGGCAGCTGAGAGGTTGCGTGGGGCCTGGTGCAAAGCTTTCCCAGGGGTCGTATGACGTCATAATTGTAAAACAGGAGAGAAGCGTTGTTTTACAATATATTGCACTTTATTATCATATTAGCACTAACTCAGCTAGGATTTATATTCTCAGTTAAGCAATCTTGTATCCAGAAAATTTAAGGGACTTTGTCGCTTTGGGGGACCAGTTTTGAGCTGGCGGCCAGGGACAAAATGCCTCGCGTGCCCCCCCCCCCTATCTCAGAGGCACTGTGTGTGATGGCTTCGTAGATTTGAGCATAGATAGGTGTACCCTGTGGTAATTTGGTCGATGTCTGAAGTAATGCGTGAGAGATGTTTTACCTGCGTACATATGAATATGTACACTATTCTCTTTAGGGAAATGATCAAATTCGTTTCGAACTTTCGTACTACTCCCTCTTTCCAAAAGCTAAGGTAAGAAATATTATACATAGTTCAAAAACTCACTAATAATTCATGAGGAAAACACAAAGAAAAATCATAAGCGTGTCGTATCTTTACATGTGATAGAGATTTCCCTTGATTTACATAAACCTTGATTTTCTCGAGTTACACAACGTATTTTTTGAAAATGACTTCGCCAATGAACTTACCAGATCGATTGTTTTTGAAGCAATTTAAAACATTCGCAGTGCGTGTTTTATCAGACGTAAAGATCACTCCGCTAATTCGTCTCGTATCTTTATATCTGATAAAACACTGCTGCTCATGTTTGAAATAGTACTTGAAATATGTTCATTCAGTAGTGCATAATGATGATGAACTTGAAAAACGAGGTCAGTGTTGAAGGAGCAAAAAATCAAATTAAAAATTTGAACCAGCTCGACAGGGTTGATGCACCGAGATTTGATGAGAGATCCTCATTTGATCTAGGACTTGATTGGATTAATTATTTTGCTGAAATCCGTTCACTGCTTCTCATATTAATGCTCCTACATTCGTTTTTGATTTACAGTTAAGTGATTTCTGACTTTTCTTCTAATAAAGGTAATTGCTCCATGGAGAATGGAAAGTTTCATTGAAAAGTTTAAGGGAAGAACCGACTTGTTTGAGTATGCCAAGGTAAAGCTACAGACCATTCTTTATCGTATTACTAATAAAATTAAACCTAGTAACACTGCATCCGCGTGATGATGTATTCCAGTATAATACTTTAATCATGTTGTTTAGAAAAATGGAATTCCATTACCAGTTACTCCAAAGAACCCGTGGAGCACTGACGAAAATTTGATGCATATTAGGTAAGTAAGAATAGTCTAAGATTTTGAATCAAAATACAAATGAATCGTTCCATTGCGTGATGCAGCATTAATAATTTTTTTTTGTAGCTACGAATCTGGAATCCTAGAAAACCCGAAGGTAACCACTTCCCTCGAAATTCTTAATAACGATTAAAAATAGGCACGCTAAGCGTACATGTATCTCACTACATTGCCATTAACATTGTCAACAAGGACGTCACATTGCCGAGGGGGGGGGGGCTGGATTAAAAACTGTGTTTGTATCAGTTTGTGGTAATCTTCAACGCATATGACAAAACACAAGATTTTTAAGGTTTTTTGCTTCCTTACACGAGCGCTGTGATGCAAAATTAAACCAATTTTCGGGTGACATAAATGTCGCTTGCTTTACAGCTCATTGAATTGAATTTTTCATCCATTGTGTGTTTAGACTGAGGCTCCACGTGATATTTGCAAAAGAACAACACATCCAGAGGATGCTCCCGATAAGGTGAAGCCAAATTTATCACTGAAAAAATTATCTATTGTTAAATGATATTTTGACCTCTTCAATGATTTCTTAATCTTTTTAGCCTGAGCGATTTGAGATTGAATTCAAAAAAGGTATGATAAGACTGCGTGTTATAAAACGATGTATGTTGATATTTGTTCTTTCCGACACAGGACGTTAACAAACTGATTTTATTCATTAATTTTTCTAGGGGTTCCCATTCGTGTTCAATGTCACAGCGATAAGAAATCGTCTGACAAACCCTTGGAAATTTATAAACATCTCAATGAGATTGGGTTAGTAAACAAGTAGTTAGTACTACAAAACTACTTTTGAATTGTGCTTGCACTACAAAAATCTAGTCCAAAGCTAGGCCAGGCTTAGACTCGTAGTGTAAACGCGGCTTAAGAAACTTTATTTCTCAATACAGTTCACGACACGGAATTGGACGAATAGATATTGTGGAAAATCGCTTTGTCGGTATGAAGTCTCGAGGTAAGTTATTTTCATGGATAACTAAGTGTTAGTCAGTGGCGGCGCCAGGGGGGGGCAAGGGGGGGCAAATGCCCCCCCAAAATTATTTTTTGCCCCCCCATTTTGCCCCCCCTCAAAAAAATTATTAGTCACTAAGAGCGACTAAAGGCTACACAAGCGTTCTGTCGTTATCGGAAAATGTATGGCTTATAAGTTGTCATTACTCATTAGTGAATGCGCATATACATGAAACTGTTTTTTACAGTTTCAATATTAGTTTGTAAATCTCTGAATGGTAAAACTTGCCAATACTCCAATAATACGTTTCAAAAAAGACAAAAAAGCTTTAGTTTTGCAGAGTTAAATTCTCAAACGTGTAGGCAATAATAAGATGAAAGTATCACGAAATTATTTTAATAAACCACATCGCATATATGGGGGGCGAATGTCCTAAAGAGGGGCGATATTCCTAGGGTATTCGCCCCGCCCCCCTGGGAGGCAATATTCCTAGGATATTCGCCCCCGGGGGCGATATTCCTAGGAATATCGCCACGTTTTGAAGGGGGGGGGGCGAATTTCCTGGGGGACGACCTTTTTAAAAATTCGATCTTGCCCCCCCAAAATTTGAGTTTGCCCCTCAAATGCCCCCCCAAATTTGGAAGCCTGGCGCCGCCACTGGTGTTAGTCCGTCACAAGAATGATACTATTGCCATATGTTTGTCAAGGTATTTACGAGACTCCGGCAGGAACAATTTTGCGAGAAGCCCACCTGGATATCGAGAACATTACAATGGACAAGGTCGGTGAAAATCGCTTTAGCTTATAGAGCCAATTGCATTTAATTCCTCTATAGGTTTAATATCAGGGTTAGTTGGGCACCTCTCTCGATTGAACCATAGCCTATCGAAGGGAAGATGGTTGTGAGACTCATTAGAATAACAATATAACGCATTATCTATGTTAGTCAACGTTTATTCATAAATCTGGTCCTTCACCGTCACGTGTGTATTGTATTTTTGCCAAATCCACCAATTTCTAATTTACCAATTATTCGAGTCACGGATAGGTAACTTTCGTAAAACATTGCTATTGGTTAGTTGGGCAAAAATACAAACACACGTGACGGTGAAGGACCAGATTTATGAATAAACGTTGACTAACATAGATAATGAGTTATATTGTTAGTCTAATGGCTTTCACAGCCATTTTCCCTTCGATGGGCTATGATTACACCTAATGTGGAAGGATTTTATAGATTGAAATTTCGAATGTAAATTTATATATTAATTTAGACGTAACGAGGAGCTTGGTTTAAACGTGTTTTTCTCCCGTTTGTTTCCATGTTGTATAAACCTGTGTGTTTTCTCACTTTAGGAAGTGAGAAAACTGAAGCAATATTTGTCCAATCAATTCTCTCAATATATCTACACTGGATTCTGGTACAGTCCTGAGGGGAACTTTGTGAGAGAATCTCTGGCTAAAAGTCAGGAGAATGTTGAAGGGATCGTACAAATGCAAGTTTATAAAGGACATGTATGTAATGATATATTGAAAAAGATGCGCTGCAGGGCCTCTTTTAAGAATTTGTCAGTGGAGGGGGCCATCAAGAGAAAAGGGACCCAACTACGAGGTGGTGAACGGAAAAAGTGGGAACGTTTGTGGCCCAGAAAAATTTTGTTTTTCGGCATTTTTAGACACAAAGATTTGGTCTTGGGAATACTAAGGGACGGGTCATTATTTGGGGGGGGGGGTGGCACCGAAGAGAAATGTTTTTTCTGGTAAACATTTTGCTGACCCAACCATTAAAAAGCAAAAAATTTGATTACCCAACCTTAAATATCAATTAAAAAATAAACACCCACCCCTGGCCAAAACCTTTACAAAAGAATACCATTCAGTTGTCACACATGTCCTTTACCACTTCTGTGACACAAGTTTGATAACTAAACTTTGTTGTTGTATGTACATGTACTTTCTTTGGAGACACCATTTGTCTCCCAACAAATCGGAAAATGATCAAGATAGTGACTCTGATTGATTCACATATTGTATTGACATACGACTGTTGACATTGCTTTTCGGTCTCCAATATTTAAGTGAGTCATGCTTTGGAAATGACAATAACTTTTTATTACCCAACCCTTGAGTTGTTTTGTTTTTCATTTACCCAACCTTTTAGTTACTCAAAATTTAGTTTACCCAACCCTTTTCTCTTCGGTGCCACCCCCCGCCATAAATAATGACCGGTCCCTAAAATACTCTTCTTAAACAGAAGGGATCTTCACTTGGGGGGGGCAACATGGTTCACTGGAGGGGCCAAAACAGGGGCTGGGGGGGGGGGGAAGTCTATGGTATTAAAAGAGGCCCTGATGTGCTGTTGTCTTTCAAATATAATACACTAGTGTTAAACTGCGGTAGAGTAAATTTCCTCCATGATTTCTCTTAGTTTGCTCAACTTCTGACCGAGTTTCTGGACACTCGTTACTTGCAATGGATATTTTTTCTCGTCAAAGAGTATAATCGCATGGCTCGCATCCTTTTATTATATTATTTAGGTGTATATCTTGGGTCGAGAATCAAAGACGTCTCTTTATAATGAAGAACTTGTCAGGTAGATATTCATTTCAAGCATACAACTGCCTCTCATTTTGTCATTGCTCAAGATGGACTGTCTTTCTTGTTTCTCCAGTTCTTCCTCTGTTAAAACGTTTATAGCAAGTCGTTCATTTATATATTAAGAAAGGACTTGTTCATACAACATTTATATGTTTTGTTTTTCTTGTTTTTTAGTATGGATGTGATCAGCGATTATAATCCAGAGGATGCAGCAGGATTCATCAGAATCAATGCTCTTCGGTAAAATGTCTTGTTCAAGTGCATGTTTCCACGAAACGCATTAACTAATTCTCGTTTTATCATGAGTTCTTACGAGCTGAATGTTTATTAGAAACGTGCCTAAGGATAAAGAGTATGAGATAATTTTGTGTCTTTTTAGATTGAGAGAAAACACAAGACTTCGACAGATGACTGAAAAAATGCAATGAACTAAACTAGTAAAGCCACTGAAGAGTTGTTAAATGGCAACCCTATTTAATTAGCAACAGTAGAGTTTATTTAACAATGCATAAATGCAAAGTTGTTTATTTTTTTCAATGTAGAAGTATTATTTAACGCATGAGATGTGAATTTTGGTCATTTTGATAGGAATAAAATATGTTGTTTTAATTTTTGTTGAAACTGGTACATCTATTGTCCTTTTTGGCGGCCGAAAAAATCCTGAGGAATATCACGAGGAGGACTGGAGTTTGTATATGTGATACAAAATCAACCTGATTTACATAAACTTTAATAAGTTCAATTTTCTCACCAAATATCATTAATTTATTTTAAACTGTACATATATATCTGTACCATCATCAGCACCCTAACCATTGCAAAATTGTTATGTCATTTGTTACGTCATTCTGACGTCATGTAAAATATGAAACAAGGAAATTAGCCAACCAGTATACCTCGTCTTATATGAAGTTGTCTCACGTTTTCAAAACAACGCGGGCTCGTGCTGAGTGAATAAAGGTTTTCACTTGTTTCCATCTACCAAACTGACATTACGTCATTTGATCAATTTCTAAAGTTGTTTCTTTTTGGATTTTTTCATTAATTTGGTTAGGGTTAGAGTTAGGGTTGCGGTTAGGGTTAGCGGTTAGAGTAGGGGTGGGGTTTGGGTTAGTTACATAGCCATTTAACACTCCTTCCATCTTCCGAAAATGACGTCATGTCAGTTTGGTAGTTGGAAACAAGTGCTGACCGTGAATAAAGCCCTCGAGTGGAGTCAAGCTGTTTTATAGAAGTGTTTGGTTGTGGGGAGTTTTAAACTGTTTATAGTTTTACGAAGGGATTAAAAAATACCGTACACGCTTTATTGATATCTTAACCAACTATGGCAGGAGCTAGTTTGGCTGAACATGCCGTCCCTTTTGAGGAAACCTTTGAATGGGGTAAGGAATATGAGACCTGTTTATGACTTGGTGAAAGTGTTCCAATTTTTATGACAGTTCCTAAATTCTTTTCTCTGCTACCAGGGGATTTATCTGAGGCTAATTTCGACCCTGATGACTTCCTACTATCACATGATGACTTGAAATTCACTGATGAGGAGGTTTGGATGATTTTATGAAAGACGTAGTTTTGTACTGTTAGTCTCGGACTCATCGAAGCAAATAGTGGAAAAGTATTTCTGCCAAGTGCCAAGCTTTCGCTTTAAAAACCAACTGTATTTCGATGTTTTATTAAGCTTTTAAAGTGTGAGAAATAGTCTACGGTATTATGTGTGTAATTTTGAAACATATATAAGTTTTTAAAAGTATTTTTGTAGCAGGAAAATGAACTATTTTGCAGACAATTTGCGCTTACAAATGTTCTAATTTTAAACTTCCGGCCGCTTGCAATGTGTAAATAGCTGATACAACGTTATTTATGGTTCTATATGGTTGGTTTTATGTGATATTTTATGTACTTATATGTACTAAATAACATAGATTCTGCCAAATTATTGATTTTACTACCAAATAAAACCAGGGAAATTATAACTGCTATAATAACAATTATAGTTTTCGAGTTTGTAGTGACGTGTTTATATGCGAATAATTACACATCGCTTTGTAATTTATCACTGAATTTATCACTGAATTTGTTGCTAAAAGATATTAAATAAAGAATTTTTAACATTGAAACTGTATATTTCCCAAAATGTGCAAACCCCTAACTACTTATTTCTATGCAGAAGTAAAGGTGTTTTGTTAAATTTGTTTTGGAAACATTCACTGACACTACAGCACAATAAATACACGTCAGCTTAATTTATCAGCCAATCAATGAAGTACATCTGTTTATATTGAGTGCAAATAATTTGAAATTTTTAGATGAAAGATATTGACTTGCAAGATCTGGTCGGAAAACTCGAAGCAGATGATTTTTTAAGCAATTTGCCAAACTTGGATTGTAGTAGTTTGGGTAATATTTCTTGTCAGAAATTTGCATTATTAATATTTAAATAGTGTCAATTCATTTCTTGACTTGCTGGTACTCTTGCATAAGCCATGATGTGGCATTTATTGGATACAAGTGTCTGTCCATGTGATGAAAGCATGTCTAATAAGGGCCATGTTTTAGGCACACAATATCTTGCATCATGGCAGCGAACTGAGTTACAACAATGCTATTATTTTACTAAATTGCTACAAGTTTATTCCCACAATTGTTAAGAAGATGTAGTGCAGAGGCCTGTTGTCCAAAGCTGGACTAGCGCTAACCCTGGGTTAAAATTTAACCTGCTGTTTTTGTTCATGTATTTTGCACATTGTTTGTTTTAAAACTCCAGAGAATAAAACTCCTGCTGCTCCAGACAAGATTTCTAAAGAAATATTTCCAAATTTATAAGCAAGCTGTTGGGGTGTTTGCCCTAAGAACAGCAATAATTTGTTAGAGCAGTTTGAGTCACCAATCTTGTGGCAAGCTGATTTAACAGCTTGTCAAGAAACTGGGAATAAACAGTGCTATAACAAACTAATTCTAACAAGTTTGCAATATGCATTTAACAACTTTTGTAGTAGTGTTGCAGTTTCATATTCATAATTTCAAGCAAGAACAGCTATAGCCATTGTTAGATGTCTGACGTCTGTGTGAACAAACCAGCTGTTTTCCAGAGTGCTTGATGTCACATAAATACGTGGATACTTAAGTTTTGCATATAGTCTACTTCACTTTTGTTTGACATGAATATTTTATTGTTAGATATTTTTAAAGATGAACCATTGTCTCCAGATTCAGCTGTCTCTTGCAATGATTCCTCTCCAAGTTCACCAGACTCACAGGTAACTGGCGATGTACAACCCCCTGAAACCTCCCTAACCTCTTTTCTGAAATATATTTACCCTCCCTCTACCCTCCCTCCTCTAAAAATGTTCATCCCTTCCCTGGAAAATATTGTCAACATCTCATCCCACCCCCTTCTGAAAAAGTTCACCCCACCCCCTTCTGAAAAAGTTCACCCCACCCCCTTCCTTGGAAGATTTCACCTCACCCCCTTCATTGAAAATGGTTACCCCTGGACCTTAAAATACTCTTAAAATAATAATTCTCCTATTCTCTGGAAAATGTCCTTGTTATTGAAAGTTCCTCCCCCCCCCAGGTGCCCTATTCTACTATGAGGAATGTTCATCTTCTCTCTACCACACGATCCTAGCTCTGCCCTCAGTCTCAAACTAACTTTGCAAACATTCTATATTTCCAGGGTACAAGCAATGGTAACATCTCTCCTGTCCACAGTACTGGCTCCCTTTCTGACCAAGACAATCACGATCATATCATGTTAACTGATGTAACCCTTGACAACGATTTTCGTGAAGAATGCATTATTCAAGAAATTGACAAAGGGATTAGTTTCAATGCTCCAGTGAAACACCAACAACAGCAACAAACACAACATCAAACAAAACAGCCGAAACAATTACAACAACAGAAAACTCAACAAAATGTTCCAAAAACAACATCAGTAATCAAACCAGAAAACAAAAAACTCCAGCCATGTGGCATGAGGTCAACAAACGTGGCTCAAATAAAAAATGAACAATTGATGAACGCTCCCACACAATGCATGGTACTTTCAGGTGGTTTTCAACAAACTGATCAAAAGCCTGTCATTGTACAAAATGTACAAAGTTTAAAATTGCCTTTACCTCGGAATGCAAAACAAAATCCTATATTTATTCAACCAGTGAACGGAAATATACCACTTCAGACTGTGTTACCGGTGGCGACCACACAACCTCAAATACAGACTGTGAATCTTGTATCAAGTACTCCTATGTTAAAACCAGGTATGTTTGCATACCATTTCAGGGTCTGAAATTTGCAGTATCCCGATGTCCACAGGATACTAAAATTTGGTTTTGGATACCAAACTGTAAATGACTTATATCCCAACCGGATACTAAGAAAACTTCAAACATTAGGAAAATGTAAAGCACCTCTGACAGTCTCCTGATAGCTTTTGAATACTATGAATTTGCCAGCCAAGCCTTTCCACATATAATGTGCATTTTTGTGGATTAATGAATTGTCTAGTTGTTGACAACTTGACTGTTGAATCTCCTGTTGTTATTGTAATTTGTAACAGCGAGAGTTATTGGATGGGACAGGGTATAATACTTATGGTAACCAGTATCCAGAAGTGGGATACTGCATTCTCAGGGCGGATACTAAACTTTGAATCCTGGTATCCCAGTTGGATATTGAAAAGATATTTAAATTTCAGACCCTGCATTTTCATAGGCACAATATATACCTGGGTTCATGCATCAACCATATCCCTTCGAGATAGCCAGAAAGATGTACACAATACGAGGTTCCCAAAGTTCCTGATCATGGTGATTGGCAGTCGCAACTTTTCTGATTGAAAACCTCAGGGCCACAGCTAGACCGATAATTGTGGGGGGTGCATATTCAGAAATTTGTGTTCTGCCCGACGGATTTCTTTTAAAAGCAATTGTTTTTATGGTATGCGAACATGCATAATATATGAATACACCCCCCCCCCCCCAATTATCGCGTCTAGCTATGGCCCTGGAAAACCCTGCTTTTCTGCCAATCATAAACAATTTCTTTCTGATCATTGATTGTCTGCTATTTCAAGCCCTGATTTGTTTTCTTTCGGTTACTGTTATTTAGTTTTGGTTCAAGCTGCATTATCAGGAAACACCAAGATGTCATGCATACCAGTCTCACAGGCTGTACAAGGAACCATCCCACAGACAACAAACACTGTTATTGTATGTATTGTCAACTAGCAAATGCGTTTATTATATTCTGAAATTTTCTAGAAATTAATAAGAAATGAACAATTGATGAGCGCTCCTACACAATGCATGGTACTTTCGACCAGGTTTCAACAAACTGATCAAAAGCCCGTCATTGTACAAACTTTGAAATTTCTAAAAAAAATTTTTAATTTTAGAAATTTTTGTTCTTGTTCTAGAAATTTTATAGTGACAATGCTTACCTTTCAGGGAACAGCGAATAATCCTTCTACAATTAGGACTGGTCTCAATCAATCTAATGGCTCCACTGCAACAGATGTTGATGTAAGTTGACTAATTGAATATAAGAAAGCTTCAGATTGATAGGGATACAACTAGCTGAAAAATACAAGGAGAACTTTGACGTTTCGAGCGAAGGTCCTTTGTCGGGAAGTTCATGAAACATCGAAGTTCTCCTTGTATTTTTCAGGTAGTTGTATCCCTATTGATCCGAAGCTTTCTTATTATTGCCACTACTTACACTGGCACAGACAGTAAGTGAATATAATATTATAATGCAATTTACTATATATCTTGCACTTCTCAATATGCAACATGTCTTTGTACACAGATGAAAGTATTGAGAAGACAACAGAGGATGATCAAGAACAGAGAATCTGCTTGTTTGTCAAGAAAGAAGAAAAAGGAAGTATGTATACTACTGGGGGGGTTTTAGTGACAATAGGCGAGTCTATGACTCTATGACCAGACAACAAGTGACTACTTGACTGATTTCACAACCACCCATAACAGAATGTGTCTCATTTGTGGTCTGCTCAATGTATGTTTCAGCAGCTTTATTAGGAACTGATTACTTTACAATTAATACACACACAAATAACAACAGACATAGATTACCTTCCAATTAAAATACACATTTACAAATTTAAATAGTTTTGTTTGTGGAAACACCACGTAAATTTATTACTGCAAAGCTTTTTATTATTATTATTATTATTATTACACATATTATTATTAGCACTGATGAAGATCCGGGCTTACGGATCGAAAGCTTTGCAGTAATAAATTTACGTGGTATTTCCACAAACAAAACTATTATATGTTTTATCGCCATGCAAATGTACAAAGAACTTAAATTTAAATAGACATTTACAATTTTTTTTAAATACACATTTACAAATTTCACATTGAAGATCTAAAATCTTTGAAGGTGTTTTTATATATCCTGCAAGTAGTTCAAATATTTAGACGCACTAAATATTTTTAATGTAGCTAACTGATAGTGTATATCCACAGATACCTCTTTACAATATTTAAGACATATTGGAACATGTGCAGGTCATTGAACATTCCCTCCTTCTCTATTTAGTATTTGCAAAGCCTGGAAGCGAAACTTAAAGAATTATTGGCTCTGAACGCTCAAGTCACGCAAGAAAATGAATTGCTTAAGAAGAGATTGGCGGAGTTGGAAAAAGAGGTACTTGTATCACCTTGTGTTCAGTGGCGTAGCCAGCAAAACAGATGTGGGAGGGGGGGGGGGGCAATGTATGACGTCATCAAGACATTGTTTGGTAGTTATACGAAGGCCAAAGGCGTGAGCCAGCTAGGGGGTCTGGGGGCATGCTTCCCCTCCTCCCCATGGGGCTACACCTCTGCTCTTGTTTATGGGGCAATGTATTTATTTATTATATTGGTTCTTTTAGAACAATGCATTTAAGAATTTGACTGGGATGAACCTCAGTGGAAACGTCGCCAAGTCAACATGCGTTTTTGTTATTTTACTGTTCGTTGCTCTTAATCTTAACGGCTTTAGGTAAGAGGAAAGAATGAGGAAGATAAATTGTACTTTCATGAGAGTGCATGAGAGTTTGCAGTCACGCGATCTTGGTTAGCAGTTCTTATCACTATCATGTATTCTGTTCAATGTGAAAAGAAGAAAGGCGCTCTAAAAACTGCACTTGGTTCGTTAGATCGTCATCCATCATCTCGGATAAGGAGGATGAATCGTACTTTCTTAAACCCGCGGATCAAACGATGACGAGAGTACATGACAGTTGGCAGCATGGAAATATTAGACCCTAATTTTTCGGTCTAATATTTCTATAGTTGGCAGTCAGTTAACTGTTTTTAATGCTTTCCCAACACTATCATGTATTTTGTTCAAGTTAAACCATAGTTGGAACATTCATCAAACCTTTATTTCAGGTTAATCTAGAGCTTGAAATGTCCCCTGTAACAATGCGACAACTCTAATCTTTGATAGGGGTTTGACAACTACCAGTGACCACATTTTGCTGTACGCCATAGTGCTTATTGAGACCAACGCATGCAATTTCCTTGTATTTTTTAGCAACTTTAAAGAGCAGCTAAAGGAAGGCCCAGGTTTACTGGAAAGTTCTACAGGCAAGATACACCAAGGTCGCGCCTTGTTAGAATACACGGATAAATACAACATAGACATTGAGAAATTCACGTCGGCAAAACAAAACCAAGAAAATACAAAGAACAGACGTGAAAATAAAAAGAATATGATGAAAAAAGGTCTGGAGATTGAACGAGACAACGGAAAAAATGCTAATTCGATGAGGAAGAACGACGTTTTAAAAGAAAAAAGGGTTCGCGCAGCGAGAAATGCGACGCAGGAGACGCCGTCCGTATGCAATCCAACGCCTGTCATGAACGAAACTGAAAACAATCGGTGAGTTTCATTGAAACATGCGCAACATTAATTTGAGGTAGAATTCGCCATCATTTGCCAATATTTTCCAATTATTTTACCGAATATTTTTGGATATTTGTGTAAAACTTTGGATAGTTCAACTAGTTCTATACCTATGTTTCATACCTATATTCTCAGGTTAAACGAGCTGTTAGAATTGTTGATTCGAAAACATGAAATGGCGAGAATATCGGAACGACTTGGTAAAGAGAGCCAAGAGTATACAAGATCACCAATCTCAGATCTTGTTACGAAAATGAAACAGAATTCCACGAGCAGGACAGATCTAAGGTAAGGAGGCGTTACTACTGATTACTGTACAGGCCATGCCATCTGTAGTCTCTCATTATATGACTGTGTGTGTCTGTCTGTTTGTCAGGTCGTTTATGCTTAAGAATTCTCAGTCGAAAGAACTCCAAGTAGCCTCCAGATATACAGGGTAAGTTTTCCATTGATAAACCTGCTTGTATTCAGTATATTTCAGTGTTAGAATAGTTTGTTTGTGGAAACACCACGTAAATTTATTACTGCAAAGCTTTCGATCCGTAAGCCCGGATCTTCATCATATGCTAATGATATGACATATTATTAGCACTGATGAAGATCCGGGCTTACGGATCAAAAGCTTTGCAGTAATAAATTTACGTGGTGTTTCCACAAACAAACTATTATATGTTTTATCGTCATGCAAACATACAAAGAACTTATATTTCAGTGTTGGTGAACAACAAGCTAACTTTTTTTGGTTATTTTAGTTCTTTCAGATCATTTGAACAGGCGTTCAACCGACAACGTGACACTTCTTACGTAGTCTCCTTCAGGAAGGTAGGAACGTTCATGGCCTCCTTTTGACAAACGCTGAGCATAACAATGTCATCCAGTGATTGGAATGTTTCGTTGTCTTTTCATTGTTTCGAAAATCCCACTGTTCTCCATGCCATCCACTGAATGATCCAGTGATCAAAATGTTCCATTGTCTTTCATTGTTCTGAAAATCTCACTGTTCTCCATGCCATCCAATCATGATCAAGTGATCAGAATGTTCCATTGTCTTTTCATTGTTTTGAAAATCCCACTGTTCTCCATGCCATCCAGTCATAATCCAGTGATCAGAATGTTCCATTGTCTTTCATTGTTTTGAAAATCTCACTGTTCTCCATGCCATCCAATCATGATCCAGTGATCAGAATGTCCCATTGTCTTTCATTGTTCTGAAAATCTCACTGTTCTCCATGCCATCCAATCATGATCCAGTGATCAGAATGTCCCATTGTCTTTCATTGTTCTGAAAATCTCACTGTTCCCCATGCCATCCAGTCATAATTCAGTGATCAGAATGTTCCATTGTCTTTTCATTATTTTGAAAATCCCACTGTTCTCCATGCCATCCAGTCATAATTCAGTGATCAGAATGTTTCATTGGCTTTTCATTGTTTTGAAAATCCCACTGTTCTCCATGCCATCCAGTCATGATCAAGTGATCAGAATGTTCCATTGTCTTTTCATTGTTTTGAAAATCCCACTGTTCTCCATGCCATCCAGTCATAATTCAGTGATCAGAATGTTTCATTGGCTTTTCATTGTTTTGAAAATCTCACTGTTCTCCATGCCATCCAGTCATGATCAAGTGATCAGAATGTTTCATTGTCTTTTCATTGTTTTGAAAATCTCACTGTTCTCCATGTCATCCAGTCATGATCAAGTGATCAGAATGTTCCATTGTCATTTCATTGTTTTGAAAATCCCACTATTCTCCATGTCATCCATTGCATTATTATTTAGACTATCAGTTTCTGGGGGGGGATTAGTTTAGGGGGAGGGGATTAGTTTACCAACATATGACCAACTTTTGTAGCTGGCAATCGTACTTTGAACTTTTTTGCCTCAAATGACAAAGTTCATACAATATATTGTCTTTCAAAACGTTAAAGTATATTTTTCTTCAGGATCATCTTATGTTCCCAGCAACTGAAGTGAACTCGACACGCCTGCCAAAGATGTCGTTTATTTTACCAGCGCCTAGTGGAGGTAGGGTTATATCTGAAAATATCGATTTATATTAGGGTCTAGAGACGAGGTCATTTGCAACACAGATTGTCACGCCACAAATATTGTTATGCTTCTTGGCTTCCAGTGAAAACACGTACTAACGAACTGTTTTCATCATTTCCCAGACGCTAGATGGCGAGTAAAGAAGAACTACATTCCCATGGTAAGAATGGATTGTCAGCTGACAAACAGTAAAAGAATCTTTTTGAAAAGATCCAGTATTCCGCCCAATGTCATGGATATGTCGTATTTATATACTGCACCTTTTGTAAATAGTAATGATGATCGTAATTGAATCGCAAAGCGAAATAAAGTTGTTGTATTTGTATGTGTCGTGATGGGGTTTTGTTGTGTATAGAAGAGAGAAACTTGGCTTCTACATGCGCGCCTTTTCTGCAACGGAGTGAGTGAAAGAATGATGCACCTCCCCTGAAAAGTCATGCACCCCCCCCCCGTTTGGGAAAGTTTCAATGATAGATCAGAGTGAAAATTTGACATTTTTTGGTTGCTTAGGGAATAGGGACTGCACTTCGTAAGAAAATGTTTCTCTAAAATTGAAACAGTGATAGCCATTCATCTCTGTGTCGAGGGTCCTTTTAATGCAAAATGTTACGAAAAAATTTCCACCTCCCCCACTATTTCCACCAAAATCCGGCCTTGGTAACACAATAACCAAAAAGTGTTGCCCAAAAAAGTCGACAGCTTTGCACAAGCAAATAAAACAAGCCTACACGAAGAACGTACTCATTAAGGTTGAATCACAGATTCTTGAAACAAGAATAAAATTTAATTGTAATAACACTGCTCTGAATTATAAATCTTTAATATTTTTACAGATAGTTCTGTTAATTAATAAGGTGGTTTATCTCCCACCAACACATAGTTCACTCTAGTCAACGAAATAATTTAAATTCAATACGTCTTTCATAACACGTGAAATTTGTACGTAGCAAACACAAAAATAAATAAACTTTACAATGTTTCTCACATATATAGGCTATATATATTTATTATATAAACATAAGTGTTATATAGAGTTTTTGGCCACGGAGAAAAATCGTATTTAAACACACGTAAAAAATCCGATATTTTTACGTGTGAAAATATCATTTGTTGTAAAACGCATTGCCACGGACGTTTTATTGTTTTTACTGAATTCTGTTTATATAATAAACAGAAAAATACATGGGTGCTTGGAAATACCAGATTTATTTCTCGTGTTGAACATGATATCTCACTCGTGAGATATCATGTTCAACACTCGAAATAAATCTGGTATTTCCAAGCACCCATGTATTATTCTCTATATATTCAAAGATTATTACACGCTGTAGAGCCCAAGTCCCCAGCGCGGTCGGCAGCTTGTTTTAAAAAAAGCCCGCGAAATTTTAGAAGCTTGTAGAAGATTCAATTTTTTAAAGGAAGGCTCAACTATTCAAATAATATTGTCAGAAAAAGACTGACAGCACCAAAAACGTCGCGAAACAATTCACAGCTTCGTTCTCGACAGGTATTTATTATATATTTTTTCACCGACCGCCAGTCTTTGCTAGCTTTCATGTCGGTTTTTTTTTTAATTTGCTCGGAAATTTGAACATATAATATAAACGCTTTGCTTTAAATTGACTTCGTCTATAATACGCTAATATGTGAAAGTCTGTAGGCATTTATTCCTACGAACATGGCAGCTTATCAATAGGCGTAAAAAATTTAAATTCTGGTGGAAAAAGTTCAGCAGCTTTAGGAAACATGAGACGATAGGATTGTCGTATTGTCACGTCCGCCACGCCAGCAATGTCGCCGATTTCTGAAGAGAAAAACAAAGCATTTGTGTAATAGATAAAATATTTAAATAAGTTCATTGCTACCTAGGTCACCTTTTCAGATAAATTATTCGTCTGATAATGGTGGAATGACAAAGCACTGTTAACAACTACACAAAGCGTTTAAATTGAAGACTGCACACATAAAAACGCGCAAATTGTCACAAATCTGCAAACAAGTTGTAGCAAGGTTGTTGTCAAGCCGATATTAAGATGTTGTTGTTGTGACAAGTCTGGAACAAGTTGTTATCATCTTGTTACAAAGTTGGTGACGGTAACAGATTTGCTACAAGTTGTTCAAACAAATTGTTATTATCAACTTGTTAACAACTTGTTACGTGCAGACGATATCAGACATGGCGGAACAACTTGTTGCGAGTCTGTTGGCCTCATCAACCTTACAACTTGTTCGAGACTTGTCAACAACTGGGAACAAGCAGTGCGAACACATCTTGTTGACAAGATGTGAGATTCTCATGCGTGTAGCGAATACGAGTCTTATGCAAATTAAATACTGCGGGAGTAACCCATATCTAAGAGTAGTTTGTTAGTTGCGTGCTTGCCTAAAGTTTTGCTCACACGAGAGAGTTGAGAAGCGAGAGTTTGCATGAGAGTTTTCTCAACTCTCATGCCCCCGTCAAACGAGAACAAGAGTTACATGAGAGTTGATGAGAGTTGAGAAGCGAGAGTTTGCATGAGAGTTTTCTCAACTCTCATGCCCCCGTCAAACGAGAACAAGAGTTACATGAGAGTTGAGAAGCGAGAGTTTGCATGAGAGTTTTCTCAACTCTCATGCCCCGGTCAAACGAGAACAAGAGTTGCATGAGAGTTGATGAGAGTTGAGAAGCAAGAGTTTGCATGAGAGTTTTCTCAACTCTCATGTCCCGGTCAAACGAGAACAAGAG